CCCAGCTCCCTGGGTGCTGCCATGGGTGGCTGCCCTTCATGTACAGCTTGCTTACAGAAGAGCAAGTTGAGGGAGGCATAAAAAAGACAATTTCCCCACAGGGATTAATAAAGTGATGATTGTTATTATGATTATTATCATTATTTTCAGCTCTTCTTCGCTTCTCCTTCCTCAGACCCTTGTGATAATCTACGTGAGATCCTGCAGAATGTGGCCAGACCGCAGGGCGTCACCAACATGAGGAAACTGGGCCACCTCAACAATTTTATTAAGGTGCGTAACTACTGGAGCGTTACCTTTAACAGACCTGCTATTGGATAATGATGGTCACATTGTTGGGCCTCCCTCTCCTGCTATTGGTGGGGTGGAGGTTCCATACTGTTTGTACACCAACACTGTCTGTCAGCACAGTCTCTGGATGGCTGATGGTTGTCTGGTTCCCTCACAACATTTCTCTCATGCTTGCAGCTTCTCTGCAGTGTTGGCCACAATGAGGAGAAGTTTGGGTTTACATATGAAGAGATCATCATGTGGTGAGTCCTCTGGGAAGAAGGGTGCAGCGGTGCCCCTTGTGGTGAAGGCATGCACTGCTCTGTTTACCTCTATACCAGCCCTGTCCGCAGTCGTCTGACTCTGCCCCGCTGTCCTTCAGCCTGCGGCTGGCGCTGCTCAATGAAGCCAAGGAGGTACGGGCAGCAGGTCTGCGGGCGCTGCGCTACCTCATCCGTGATACCAGTGTCCTTCAGAAGGTGCTTCGACTACAGGTAGACTACCTGATTGCCAGGTGAGTGACGGGGCTTCAGTGGTCCCACCTTCCTATCTGGGTCGCTTTTTGCAGTTGGTTAGGGTGAGAGACTTGGTTATGTTCCATTTGAGCTTTCCCTCCCAGGTGCATTGACATACAACAGAGCAACGAGGTGGAGCGGACACAGGCCCTGAGACTGGTGCGCAAGGTAACATGCCATCCCATACTCTTCTGGGTGGTTACAGTGTGTCTTGTGCTTTCACTGGTGGTCTGAGTGTGTTCTGGGCTGCCCCCTAGTGGTTGGAGTGTGTTCTGGGCTGTCCCAAATGGTGGGAGTGTGTCCCTGGTGATTGGAGTGTTTTGGGCTGCCTGCTAGTGGTTGGCGTGTGTTCTGGGCTGCCCCCTAGTGGTTGGCGTGTATTCTGGGCTGCCCCCTAGTGGTTGGCGTGTGTTCTGGGCTGCCCCCTAGTGGTAGTAATGTGTCCCAGTTTGTCCCGGGTGGTTACAGTGTGTCTCAGGCTGTCCTGGGTGTTAGGACTGCATCCCAGGGTGCTTTAGAAGGCCTGTTATGACTGTATGTCTCTTTTAGTTTAGTGCTGAATAAATCCTGAACTGTTTGGCAAACTCTAATAATGTATGTTTTCAAGTTGACTGCCATGTTACCTAATGGTTCTGATTTCTTGCTTTTGCTGCCCCCTACAGATGATCACCGTGAACGCGCTGCTATTCCCCAGCTCCATCACCAACTCCCTAATCGCTGTGGGCAATGATGGTCTGCAAGAGCGTGACCGCATGGTGCGCGCCTGCCTGGCTACCATCTGTGAGCTGGGTGGGTATCATGGCTCTGGTCCACTGTCCAAGAAATGAGCTTCTGGCTGAATCTCAAACCCATCCCTACTCACCAGCACTACACTACGGAGTGACACTTTGTGTGACGTCACACTTGCAGCTATGGAGGGTTCCCCAGATTGAGGGGAAGGATATGAAGAGGCAGGCAAACTTCGGGGATCATCCATGGATGCCGACAGATGATCTCATTGCCTGTGCTGTTATTTTATATCACCGTTTACAACTGCACATACTCTTGGTCCTGCATATTATAACGGGAAAGAATGAATTGATAGCTTAGAATATATTCATTTGCAAAAATATTTACAGCTTCACAAATATTATTTTTACAAAGACAATCTAAAAAAACATTTAAAAACTGAAGCAACACTTTCATTTTCCATCTTATTATCAGATTACTGTTTTGGTTGTTAAGGCAGCATTAAACAATGAACAAATATTTGTGTACAACAATTGGAGGAATCAGTGGAAAGGAACTACTTACATGTATATGATGTTTCCTCCATACTTGATGTTGCGCAACACCAAGGGGGCAGCGTGGAATTTTAGCCGGCATCGCCGCAGACTCGTTATCTGAGGTTTTTATACTCCACACCTACTCCGTAGTACTTAGTGTGGGCTTGACACCCCTCCACATGCATGCGCAAATGGAGTGTCAGTGGCGAGGGTGTATGGGGTGGATTGGGATTCAGCCTTTGTCTCTTGCTGATGGTGTCCTCATCCCGTTCAGCCTTGAAGAACCCCGAGGTGGTGGCGCAGAGGGGCGGTCTCAGCACCATCTTGAAGAACGTCATCGACTGTCAGCTGAGCCGTATCAACGAGGCACTCATCACCACCATCCTGCATCTGCTCAACCACCCCCACACACGGCACTACGTTCGCTCCGACGTGGAGCTGGAGGTACCGGTCCCGCACCATCTTCCTACCCCATGCAGGGTCGACATGTGAAAACTCACCCACTATTCTGAGTGCTCGCTTGTTCCTTCCAGCAAATCCTGGCACCTTATACGGACTTCCACTACAGGCACAACCCAGACACAGCTGACGGGCAGCTCAAGTAGGTGTAACGGCATGGGGCTGGGCAGGGTCAAGGGGTAGGATCGCCAGCCATCTGGCCTCTCTCTGACTGGCTGTCACCGTTTGCCATAGGGAGGACAGAGAGGCACGCTTCCTAGCTAGCAGAATGGCTATCGTAGCATCGTTCCGGTCCTGGTCAGGTGAGCAGGTGTCTGACAGGTTTCATCGTGGCCGTCTATGTTCTGATAGAATCAATGCATATAGAACCATAGGAGCCACCGGAAACGTTGCCATTAGAGGTCTCCTCAAAATTCAATGTTCCCTCTTGCCCCAGGGATCATTAACCTGTGCAAATCAGGCAACTCTGGAATCGTCTCGCTGATTGGCTTACTCTGCATACCAAACATGGATGTCAGGGTAGGTGGGAGATCTCAGAATCCTTTAGCCTGCTGCCATGTTGTATTGGTTTACCTGACAGATTTGTCGCTGTATCCACTGCTAACGTGACAGTAGAACATGGCTCCCTAGTTGGGGCTAGTGACTCGTTTGACCTGGGCTCCCTTGGTTCTCCCACAGAAAGGTCTGCTGGAGGTGATGTACGACATATTCCGTCTTCCTGTTCCCGTGGTAACCCGGGACTTTATGGAGGCTCTGCTGAGTGTGGGTGAGTCCTACTGAGGTTTGCAGCCGTTTGTTGATGTGTAAGTGCTTGTTCAGCTTAGCTGCTGTTTCCCTGTTTCCACACTTAAGTGTCTTGCTAACATTTTGCTAATTCCGCTCTAGACCCCAGCCGGTACCAGGATAGCTGGAGGTTGTCCGATGGCTTTGTGGCCTCAGAAGCAAAGACCATCCTCCTCCATCGAGCAAGGTCACGGTAAGCCTGCTATGGATGCCTATGAAATATCCAGAAACCATGTCCCTGAGGTTCATTGAACTTCTTGCTAAATTCCACTTTTTTTTTGGTTTCCCTGTCCAGGCCTGACCTGATGGACAATTATCTTGCTCTGGTGCTGTGTGCTTTCATAAACAATGGCCTGTTAGAGGTAGGGCTTGTCACCATGGTTACTGAGTTATTTATATGTGCATTTACTGAGCTTTTGGGCCGGCACCAACATTGCTGCATATCATCTGTGTCTTTCTTAGGAAACCATTGCTGAACTTGACGTTGACCTTGCTTGTTTTGTTTGATTCCCTGTTGCTGCCATTCTCTTTACATCCTGTCTTTGGCTCAGGGTCTGGTGGAGGTCATCACCAGCAGCGACGACCAAATCTCAGTCCGGGCCACCATTCTCCTGGGGGAGCTCCTCCACATGGTACTATTCTGTGACTCACAGTTTTACGTTGCCGGCTCCCATTTCTGTGGAAAAATTCAGCTCATTCCTTGTTTTGATCTCCCTACAGGCCAACACTATCCTCCCACAGTCTCATAGCCACCATTTACATTGCCTGCCCACATTAATGAGCATGGCCGCCTCCTTCGATGTCGGCCAGGAGAAGCGCATGTAAGTCCCTTGATCCGGGATCATCTGGTCCTGCTGTTGTCCTGCCTAGGTCACCTCTCTGATAGGTCGTTCATCATGCGTGTCTCCATGCCTGTCTGTCTGTTGTGCCATGTGGCTGAAGGCGGGCGAGTGTGGCCGTCAACCACTTGAAGTGTTTCCACGAGAGGAAGAAGCGGGGACCCAGACCCAGCAGCCTGTACCTGGATCACATCCTGCGCAAGTCCACGGCCTCCCGCTGTTCTACAGAGCAGCACCCTCGGGCTTCCAGGGATATATTCCTCATCAAGGTGACCCTGCTTTACTCTCCAGACCCATAGTGCAGAACAGTGTGGCCATTTGGGTCTCCATATGAATCTGGATTTTCTGTTTCAGTCACACTGACTGCCCACCGGTTTCAGAGCATGCTCGCTGTCACATGATTGGGCGCGGTCATCACACACTCTGAATTTGCAGGATACTGAGGAGGCCCTTGTGATGAACCTGAAAGATAGTCAGATCCTGAACCACAAACAGAACCTGGATTGGAACTGGGTTCTGATCTCCACTATCCTGAAGGTATGAAAATACACCTATAGTATTGTAGACATCTGTGGTATTTTATGATCATTTATGGTCATCACCCGGATGACGTATCTTCCATTCTCTGTATAGTGGCCAAATGTCAACCTCCGGAGCAACAAAGACGAACAGATACACAAGTGAGTGTCGCCCAGAGTTGTCTTGATCTCCTGCGATGAAGTTAGTCACCATCTTCATGAAAGTCATTAGATCTTGTGACCCTTTCAGATTCCTTCATTGTCATGTGACAACTGCCCCCATACAGGTTTGTGCGCAGGCTGCTGTACTTCTACAAGCCCAGCAGCAAGCTGTTCACTAGCCTGGAGCTGGACCACAGCAAGGCGAGGCAACTCGCGGTGGCTGGCTGCCAGTTCATAGAGTTCCTGCTGGAGTCGGATGAGGTAAAGCCCTTTCCCATCCCGAGCGTTGGATTAGCTGACAGGAACTGCCTTTGGCCAGTCTCAGCTAACATTTGACCTTCCCAGGAGGGCCAGGCATACCTAGAGGAGCTGCTGAGGGACATGGTGCAGTGGCTGTCGTCCTGCTCGGGGCTGAAGGCTGACCGTAGCCTCCAGAACAACGGCCTGCTCACCACACTCAGTCAACACTACTTCTTGTTCATTGGCACCATGTCTGCCCACCCCATCGGAGTCAAGACACTGGAAAAATGTGGCATCTTCCAGTGGTGGGCCTTCATTCTTAACATTTTACCCCTAGTATAGTACCTTTTAGGAGTTCCTTGTACGTTTCAGAGAGGAGCTAGCATTGCAGCCTGTGGTTTCTGAGTTGACACTTTGGGCTTGTCGTCTCCCCAGCCTTCTCAGCCTGTGCTCGCTGAAGAACCAGGACCTTCTCCTGAAGCTGACCATCACCACGCTGGACTATAGTCGTGACGGACTCGCTCGGGTGATCTTATCCAAGGTCCTCACAGCCAGCAGTGATGTAAGGCTCTAGATGTTTTCTCTGCTTTACTGTAAAGAATGCTAACCTTTGTGCGGCCTTCACACGCTACTTCTTGAGGAGGCGTTTGCGCATTTTGGGGGTTTTAGAAGTTCACTGGATTCAATGATGACTGGGAGGAGCTCTTGGGTTTGGTCGTCCGCTCCTCACTCACGGCCCCGCTTGGCCCTTCCCAGAACTGCAGGCTGTATGCCACCAAGCAGCTTCGGGTCCTGCTGCGTGCCAACGTGGAATTCTTCAGCACCTGGGGCATCGAGCTGCTGGTCACGCAGCTGCATGACCGCAACAAAGCCGTCTCCATGGAGGCGCTGGATATCCTGGATGAGGCCTGTGAGGACAAGGTAGGGGGGGTAGTATGTATGGGGAGTGGCCATTCCTCAGCTTTCTGTTTGTGATGCCATCCTTGTTGGGCTTCTTCATTTATGCTTGTAGGCGAACCTCCATGCACTGATTCAGCTGAAGCCAGCGCTAACTCACCTCGGCGACCAGGGCTTACTGCTTCTGCTGCGGTGAGTGGTGCTGACGGCCCCCTTTTTGGACCCGGTGTGTACCATATTATACCAGCTGAACTGTGTCGTCATCCACACTCTGTCTTGTAGGTTCCTATCCATCCCAAAGGGCTTTTCCTACCTCAATGAGAGGGGTTTCATCACTAAGCAGCTGGAGATATGGCAGAAGGTCAGTGATCGGCCCGTCCGGTCAGAGAGGATGGAGATGGGATTTTGGGTCGTTCATTTGCTTTGAGATTAACCCTGACCCTGACCCTCAGGAGTACAGCCTGCGCTATGTGGATCTGATAGAGGAGCAGCTGAACGAGGCACTCACCACATACCGCAAGCCCGTTGATGGAGACAACTACGTACGGCGGAGTAATCAGAGGTGAACTTGAGGGCTCCCTGCCTGTTATGGCCTCCTCATCTCCAGCCGCTTTCAGAAACCTCTCCATTCTGTGTCTTACTTATTTCAGGTGCCAGAGGCCAAACGTTTACCTCCCTGTGCACCTGTATGGTCAGCTGGTACATGATAAGACGGGCTGCCACCTGCTGGAGATTCAGGTAGCTGCGTGGAGGCGGTTCCCCTGCTGTGTCTTCAGATTCGAGTCTGTCCGTCTCCCTCTTGTCGACTGTCTGCTCTTCATGGTTTTGCTCCATGTCCTCAGAATGTGGTTCCGGACCTCAGCTACACCGTGCGCTCCCCGGTGCTGGACAGCTGGGAGGGCATCAAGCAGCTGAAGGCAGCTCTGTGGGCCCTGGTCAGTGCTACGTGTGTTCTTCTAGACTCTTCTGCACCTCTGCTGGGAGGCTTACTAATACCGATACGTTCTGTAAATTGTTTTCAGGGTAACATCAGTTCCTCCACCTGGGGTCTGAACCTCCTCCTGGAGGAGAATGTGATCCCCGACATCGTGGCTCTAGCCCAGCATTGTGAGGTTCTGTCTGTTCGTGGGTGAGCATTTACCGGTGACCCCCCCCCCCAAGCACACCCCATAAACATTCAACATACCGTGCATGCAGTGACATTAAAACCACGTCTCCCCTCCCCCGTTATAGGACCTGCCTTTACGTCCTGGGCCTGATCTCCAGAACCAAGCAGGGCTGTGAGGTTCTGAAGCAGCAGGGCTGGGACGCGGTGCGGCACAGCCGGCGGCAGGCCTGGCCCGTGGTGACGGACGAGATGGAGCCGCAGCCAGCCAGTGAGCTGTCCTCGGTGCCCAGCACACTCAGCCTCAACTCCGAGTCCACGGGCTCACGGCACAACAGCGAGAGCGAGTCCACACAGCCTGGTAAGCCGACATCACAACCTGGGGCTGTGTCACGCTTGAAGGAGGGGGGGGTGCAGCTTCTGGCCCAGCGAGAGTTGGATTGTATGCCTGCCTTCTGCCTCCAGGCCTCTACATTCTGGATGACGAGCGCTTTGGGAGCCCTGAAGTCCCGGAGGACCACCCGGTCCTCATGCGACCTAAGGTCCTCAAGGAGCGGAGCCCTCTGGCGCTGCTAGCGCCGGGCCGCCTGGTCCGCAACAGCTTCCTGAACGTGCTCAGCCTGCCGGGCAAGAAGCAGCGCAGTGCCAGTGACCCCAAGGGCAGCACGGGCAGCAGGGGGCCCTGGGAGTCGCAACTGGCCAGCCTGTGCAGGAGCCGCACCCTCACCGAGCCGTCCGTGTACGTGCCGGGCCAGCCGGACCCGTTCACCTTCGCCCGAGGCCCGGAGCTCAGGGAGACGGAGTCGCGGTCGCCTCGTGGTGGGGGTATAGCAGCCCAGCAGGAGCCTGGTAGCCGCGAGCGCCTGACCGGTGACGGCTCCTCCTCCTCATCTTCTGGAGGCGGTGCCCAGTTCAAGAGCCGAAGCCAGAGCTTCAACACTGACACGACAACCAGCGGGGTCAGCTCCATGAGCTCGAGCCCGTCCCGTGAGGCCCCTGGCGTGGACTCGTCCACCGGCGACACAGACTGCGCCAGCCTAGACACGGTGGGCAGCACGCGCACCGTGCGCACGCCGTGCTCGCTCACGCCGCAGTCCGACCACCTGCCACTCTCCAAGTCCAGCTCGGCGTCGCTGGTACCGCCCGGCTCTGCCCACACGCTGCCACGCCGCGCGCAGTCGCTCAAGTCACCCTCGGTGGCGGCCATTCGCAGCCTGGCGGACTGCAGCTTTGCGTACACCAGCCCGCGGGATGCGCTGGGCTATGCCACGCTAAAGCGGCTGCAGCAGCAGCGCATCCATCCGTCGTTGTCGCACAGCGAGGCGCTGGCCTCCCCCGCCAAGGACGTGCTCTTCACTGACGCTATCACCATGAAGGCCGGCAGCCTGGACTCCCGGCTCACACCCCGCAGGTACCCGCCCACTCCTCCTCCTGTCACCTGACCCTGTCTGCTCTCTGTTTGTTCCACCCCAAGGCGCAGCCATTTTGTTTATGAGGGAAAGCTGGCTTTCTTTGTCTGACATGCTAGGTATCCTTCAGCTGTTTTCAGGCCGGGCTTCCCTTCCCTCGCTGGCTACTCACCCATTCCTCAGGTGGGAGAGGCCTAACCTCTCCAGCAGGGCCTTCCTGTCCATCTGCACGTTCAACTTCAGTGCACCCATGTTTTTAAAAAAAAAAAAATGTGGAGATTCCTTTTAGAGGCTTACAGGCTCGTCCTTCTGTCGATCGATCTTTCATAGCCGCTTATGCAGTGCAGAGCCTGTAATATTTCATAGGGAGCTCGGCATGCACCCTGCATAGGGTCCTGCTCAGCACAGTGTACATGGGCTATGTGAAGTCTAGGTAAACCAATGGGCTTGTTTTTGAGCAGGGGAAGGAAATCATGCGAACCTCCAGCATTGGCAGTGTGAGGTTGTGTTGCTGGCCACTGCACTGCCTGAAACTCTCTTTGCTCCTATAAAAACTCTCCTGGTCAGTAGATCACCCTGGTGTTCCCAAGTGAGCGGATGAACACCTGTGGTGTTGCCCCGGAGAGGCGTACACACCCCGCCGCTGCACTGGGAAAAGGCAACGCCAGGAAATTCTCATCCATTAGTAGCCGTGGCCAGAAGACTGTAAATCATTTCTGTGATTATGGCAATCTTCCAGAATGACAGTGTCTCCATCCTCAGGCCATGAGTGCTCACCAGACGGGTTTGTGACCGACAGCTCCCTTGTCCTGCGGGTCGGTCAGGGTAATGCGTCACTTGGGCAGCGTTTTGCTGGTTCCAGGAGGCCCGTGTGCACGCCCATAATGACCTGCATGACCCCACTGCGCGGAATGCTATTCACTCTCTCACTCAACTTCATATTCACCCACAGGCCGTAATGTGCAAATATCACAGTGCATGTGAAGAGAGGCCATGCCGTCTTATGGTTAAGGGTGTATCTCATATATTGTGATTCATTTTCTGAGCGTGTGACGGTTATTTTGATTGGCTGGCTAGGGCCCTGGCTCTGGAGGCCACACCCCCAACCGAGAGGCTGTGGGGGTGGAGCCTAGGAGTAATCAGAGCTCTTTCAGCACCTCCTACTTTAGATGAAAACCACAGACCTCTCCCAGTTATGCCACACTGGAGCAATAAGAGCCATTATTCTTGGCCCCTTTGGCCTGGCAGGGGCCCAGACCTTCAGTACCCACTTCCTCCTCTCCTCCTTTCCTGTTTTGCTCAGTCCCCCCTCACCTTCCTCTTTCTGTTAGGCTCTGCCTCCCCGCTGTTTGTTGGTCCTTGTCATCCCTCGTTGTTTGTTAGGCAATCCCTTCCTTTCTTCACCCCACTTTCCTGCCTACTCGGCGGGGGAGGGGCGTTAATTCATGTAGCAGAGTTACCTTTGTATATGTTAGGGGTGCTGCAGAACCGTCTGATTATTTATAGAAATAGTGCTGTGAATTTCCTGGTAGTTTGCAGACCAGTGACAAGTTGTGTGCACCCTGTCGTACACCCTAGGGGGCGCTGCCCAGCAAGGGGAGCTGCCCAGCAAGGGGCGCTGCCCAGCGTGAGCGCAGAACATGCTGGTCTGCATTGGTAGCAGAGGGGTCGCTTCTTTTTCTCCTCCCTCAAAGCTCTCCTGCTCTGACGCTCCCCTTTCAGGTTCCTGAAGGCCTTGAGCTTCGCTTCCTTGGACAAGGAGGAGCTCCTGAGCCCCATCAGCCAGACCACGCTACACCGCTCCTCCTCTGTGCGCTCCATGGTGTCCAGCGCCACCTACGGGTGCAGCGATGACTACATCGGGCTGGCGTTGCCTATGGACGTCGCCGATATGTTCCAGGTGAGGATCCCAGAATCTCCTGGGGGAGGGCGCTTCCAGCTCTCTATGGGAGGCAGCGTCTCCCCATCCCGAGTCATACCTGCTTCCTCCGGTCCCCACAGCTCAAGGAGGCCACATATTTCCAGACCAGCCCCCAGGCCGAGGAGAGGGCTGCCAAGTTCTTTATCGGGGGGGATTCGGAAGGTAAGGGCATACTTGGGCACCAAGATGTCAGTTTTTACGCCGGTGAGAAGTCCCTGGTATAAAATCCACATGACGACCCCCCCAGGTGGCTGCTACACCACCCCCCCATTGCGGCAACAGCTCAGCATCACCGAGCTGATGGCAGCCAGCCGGGCCGACCCGCAGGGAGGGCCAGGTCCAGAGGATTCAGGTCTGCAGGAGCATCATGAGGACAACTGCTTGTACTGTGTGGGCGTGCGTGTGCGCGGAGGCCACGCCCACAGCCGAACAGGTGCTCTGACCGCCCCTTGCCCGTGAGCCGTGGTGAGGTTCCGGGGTCCCATTTGCTCTCTGTCTCCATGTCACCGCCCTCCCTCTCCCCCACTTTCAGATTTCACAGACCTCTGCTATTCAGACTGGTGTGGCCCTGCTGTCGGCCCCCACCACCTGGAGGTCGTGCCCCCATCCAGCTGCTCGGGGGTGTCGGGCTGCAGCGACACAGTGTCCCAGGGCTCTGCCAGCAGCACTCGCAGCACCGAGCTCATGCTGGGTGAGGACCCCCCCCACTCCACCCACATCATCCTGTGCTAAACCTGCCAGCCACTGTCCCTGCCTGTGACCCACATGCTGTCCCCCCTCCCCAGGAGGAAAGCCCATCCCAGAAGATGCTCCTGCCGGCAGGGCCCTCCTGCGGAAGGAGGTGCTTCGCCTGGTGGTCAATCTCAGCTCATCCGTGGGAACCAAGGGCCACGAGACGGGCCTGCTTACGTAAGGGTCACCATGGTTACTGTTGGTTTTCGGCAGATTCCCCCCCCCCCACGCCAGCCTCTCACGGTCACCTACCGCCTTTGCAGGATCAAGGAGAAGTTCCCATACGCCTTCGACGACATCTGCCTTTACTCGGAGGTGTGTCACCTGCTGGCCAATTGTCTGTTCCGCCTGCCGTCCCGTCGTTTCATCCAGGAGCTCTTCCAGGATGTCCAGTTCTCCCTGGTGCGTAACCCCCCCCCCCCCGCCATCTACCACAGGTCTAGATGTGTGACCCAGCAGGTTAAGATGCTTTGCTTGTGATTGCATGATCGTCAGGTCAAATCCCAGGGTTGACAGAGCTATGTCACCATTGGCCCCCTGAGCTTGGCAACTGCCCCAGGGACTATCTGACTCTGCTTGGGATAGAACCGTCTGCTAAATTAATGGGAATGTGTAGCTGGGTAGATGGAAGGCATGAATCATGATGATGTAAATCCGTGATCCGTCTAACCGTCTAGGAGCAGTGTGACCTTGTGAGTTACTCTGACGTGGGCGGAGTTTAACTTGCTGGTGCAATACTTCTCCCTGTATCACAGATGTACGAGGAAGCGGAGATGATACTGTCAACGCCACCAAAGAAAGCTGGGGACGAGGCCGTCTCTGACTCCTGACGGCACTCCCCCACCGCCTTGCACCCTTGGCCCCGGGTGTTCTGCATTGCAGGGTGAGGCGGAGACAGCGGGAGAGGCGTGGTGGGGAGGGCGACACTCAGTAAGGTGCAGCAAAGATGCCCTGCGGAGCCTGTCCTCCAGAGGATGTCCCCGGTACAGCACAGCCATGAGATGGAGATGGAGATGAAGCTTCTATTCATGATTTCTTTCTGCAAACACTACAGTGGGTCTTGCACATACGGGCACTGTCCACCGTGTTCTCACTGCCCATGCTCAGCTACACGTAGGGGGGTGGAAGGTCATGGAAGGTCTATCTTTCACCCCGAGCTTCTGATTAAAGAAAAAACAAACAAAAAAAAACAAGAACATCAGTTTAACCTGTATTCTGGCACATTTCTGTTTTCCTGTAATTTTCTGGTGCTGCCACCAGGGAGCAGCACATTTTTGCGGAGCTGGAACTGGTGCCAGATGCAGAACCCTGGAGACTCAGCCAAGCAAGAGGCAGCAGCCTGAGATGCAGTGACTCCTCCGTGTACTGCATCTGGACAGGGTGGCATCTTACACACGTCTGCACGTGTCTATTGGCTTCCTGGAAAAAATTGTTTTGGAAAGGAATCAGGGCAGGGCATGGAGCCTGTGGCTGATTCACCCGTCGGCATGTCGCGACAATGCAAAGAATCAGAAAAACAAAAGCCCAATCACAGACGGGAAGATGCCACTTTGGGACTTCCCTCCGAGCTGAACTCGATTCTTCCTGTCGGCACATGGTCTGCATTTCGGTCAGCAGTGGTGGAAGGCTGAAGGTGACCTCTTTTGTTGTGCACACCACCCATGGCATTTGGGAAGAGCAGGTGTTAAAGAGGGGTTCTGGTAACTAACCACAGGGTGCTGAGCTGGGTACAGGTGGGAGGGGGGATTTCTCCTTTCTGCACTAAATTACCACAGTTTTCGTTTTTAGGCAGCTTATTTTTTTGTATTTGAGTCAATAGTGAAAGTCTGTGATGTGACATTTTAATATCTAGTGACTCTGGATTGACAGTCTGGTACTTTCTTCAGTGACTTTGACCTTCCCAGTTCTCACTGTGCTGATTTTCCTCATGGTAGAATCCTACCCAGCATTCTCCAGATGCCTGTCTCCTGGTGTTTAAACAGCGGCACTGGCCCTTAGAGCAGGAGATACTTCATGTCTGGCTTTGTCTGCATTGGGGAAAAAAACTGCCTTCCCCCCTCTTTCTTATGGAGAGACACTGTTTGTAAAGACTGGGGAGCTGCCTCAACTAGTTCATAGCCGAAACCAAAACAGTTTTTTTCTGCAGTGTCGTTAATAACTTAGGCCTACAGGTCAAGTGTTGCAAAAATTGTGAGTGTGGCCACTACCGGAATACACTTCCCAGAATTCCTTTGGAGACCCGGGACAGACGCCAAATGCGATGGAGCTGCGGGTCACTATTGCACAGTTACATTTCTCCTTTATGATTCCCTTTTCCCTGTGCGCGTTTGCGTGGCTAATTTATTGCTACAAAACTTTACCTAGCAGGTTAATCCTGACTTTATACTCAAGTATGCAACGTTTCACCCCGGTGATTATATAAATGTTTTATACAGAAAATGCATGAAATGGGTGGGGGGTTAAAACACTGCCATAATTTCGGATCCCCCTTTTACTTCGTGTTTTTGGTTTGAGCTGCTATTAAGTGGAGTGCCGGGTAATGCCCGGTGTCGCTTATGTAATATTGTGTACTTGTATTATATTGGAGGAAAAGGCCAGATAAGACCATGAGAAGATGTATTTATTTATTTTTTCTTTAAGGAAATAACTGTATAATTTAAAAACTTTTCCTTAATTTGTGATTTCCCCTGTACAGTTTTCAGTATGTTTTGGGCACGTTATGGGCCTCGAGAATCTTACTATCTTACAGAAGGGATACTTTGTTAATAAAACACCTACTTAAACCTGCATTTGTCTTCCCAATTTCTCTATTTCCCATTCTCACAATAAGGGGTGTTCACAGCAGTTATTTAAATTTAAAGCGTGATTTAAAAGTTGAGAGTGAGCGTAAGTGAAGGGTATTAACGCAAAACAACACCGTCGCGGTGCTTCGGCGGTGGGAAGCCGGCAAGATGGAGCTGATGTCATTGCGTGGGCTTCGGTCTGGTTCTAAGGAAGTTGCTCCCTTTCTGAGAAACTCCGTAAACAGGATTTTGCATTTGCCAAGAAGTCATTCTCCTCCCTGCCCTGGCTCATGCCCCTCCTGTCTCCGTTCCCGCTACAGACTTAAGAAGAACCCGGTCACGGTTAATACGTCTAGGTCTACTGCTGGTAAGAGCTGCGATTCTTTTTCCCGGCCATAATTGACATCAGTACATCAGACGATACAGTTTTGTGTTGACTTTGTCGTGGAAATAAACTCTATACCTGTCGTGTCAGGCGGAATATAAAACCCCAAATCTGGAAACCGAAAGGGAACCGCGGAGAGTAAGTACTGACTACAATTATGTGACACCTACAGTTTCTCGAGAGCTTAGTTTAGTGCCGATACCCCCTTACACGTTAACATATTAAATTCCATATTAAAACTCAGAACCATTCAGTGAGGCGAATACGGGCGGTGTCCAGTGAGCGGTGCTCTATCGCTGCTGACTTGGTGTCTGTTCGTTTGAGGTCGATGGACGGGGTTCGCGGTCCGCTGTCCTTGGAGCATGTGGCCCCCGTATCCCGAAAGTGGATGGGACGGGGATCTGCGTGTTTTCCTCATTCCATATTTTTCTCTGGTTTATCCCATTACTCATCTGACGCGTAGATTATTCATGAGCCACTACCAGTGTATCAATATTCAGGCGCTTTTACGCTAATGTGAGGTTTGTGGCTGGAGTGGATCTGTTGTACCAAGTGAGCGTGGGGAATGTTGTACTGGATTATGGCTCACAGAGCCGGTGTTCTGTCGAGTTGAGATACTTTGTCGAGTTAGACTACCGTAGTGCTAATCGATAGCCCTAACCCTAACTCTAACCCCCCTAAAACCCTTACCTTAACCATAACCCTAACCCCTAAAACCCAACCCTAATCCTAAAACGGTGGAACTGTACATACGCATAAAGGCTCGATAGTACGTCTCGGTAGGTAGCTCAACTCGTTAGAACACTGGCCCTGGATGTTCTGGCACCCTAGGCAACATTATACTGAACCCCGCAACCCCCCGAGCAGCTGAAAACATTTTTTCTCAATAAATTTATACTGAAATCGCTTCAGTAGCACAGGACACATCTTACCTTATTCTTAAGTAGGTTTCACAAGATAATTAGTGAAATATTAAAATAGTGTAAATAACTATAATGTCATAGGATACAACAAAAGGTATTTCTGCTGGCTTTGTTCACTCGCTGTTTTGCGCCCCGGCCCTAATTGAATGGCGCCCTAGGCGATCGTATATAAGCCCGTGGGGGGAATCGGTTTTTTTGCACACATACCCGACCTTAGTGAGATCAGCGCTCTCTATCCTATGTTACTGGGAATCCTTTTGTGTATTTTCAGAGTCTTCAGAGAAGTGAAGAACTATGTGCTGTAAAAATGTTATGTTCTTGCTTGCGCATGGCTGGTTCTTCTTTAGGTAATGCTTGTAGTTGTTGGTGTCCCTGGGGGCGTCGTAGTAGGGCTAGTCTAGGATGGTGAACTGATAAGTGCGCATTTGTCTTGGGTATAATTACTTACATGTCCGTCGTTCGTGTATCAGTTTTATATATCTATACATATACATACAGATGGAGATAGAGAGAGCGATAGATAGTTAAACCTACCTGTGTGTGTATGTATGTATGTATCTATCTATACAGACACTTAACCTACTGTTTAGCGACCTGCCTGACCAGCTCTCCGACCAGTCAATATTAGGCTATATATAGGCCTACGCTGTATGAGAACTTTGGCCGTTGAAAACGGCAGCGCGGTATTTCTGTCCTATTCTATTTGCTCTGCTCTCTGATTTATTTGGGTCGGCGAGGAAAGGTTGTATGTGTCATGAACCCGAGGGGTTCAGGCACGGGGGCGAGGCATGGTGCATGCAGGAAGGAAGGTGGACGACCCACTGGCGGCTCAGGGAACACGGGGGTTTATTGGCAGAACTGAAAACACGAGGAACACTACAAAACAAACCAGACCACGTGGGGCGAGTAAGCAAATAGGGAAAAAACGAAAACTAACTGCAAAAAGTCAGGGCAACAAGGAGCAGGCAGCTGAGAAACAAAATGCAAAAATTGAACAACACATGGGAATTTCCAACATTCTCAAACACCTACTGAAAAGCACATGAAATACAACAGACCTACAACAATGACCCCCTCGGGAGCTGAGCTAAGACAGGAACTTAAATACAGAAATTAAAACAGATAATGACACAGTAGTTGTGAGACATGAGACAATTAACCAATCAGGGAGGGTGCAGGACAATGAGCAATCAGGAAACGCACAATTAAGGATCTGCACAAGAACAGGCAACGGGGGAAACTGATAATTAACTCAGGGAACTCAAACTAACAAATTAAGAAACAGAATCTACACTAGGGGAATAACAGACAGGTAAAAACACAACCACGGGCACAAAGCATGAAATCAAAACCGAATACAAATCACAAGACACAGGAACTAGAAAACTCATACAAATGAAACACTAGGGAACAAAATCTACAAAAACACAGAAGGTAGGATTTGAACACAAGACATAGGGGTTTCATGGCTGCACATTCAGTTGACTGAACCATGCTGCAATTTGGTGACCAAAGGAAAAACGACCAATGTGTAGGACAGGAAGGCCAGCGACATCTGCTGGGCAAACAGGGAAGAGAACACGAAAGATTCGGACAGACCCTTACAGTACATTGTTTGCAACAGCTGACCACAAGTGTGTGGTTCTAATCAGAAGGTCACTGGTTTGAACCCAGTCTCAGCACATCTGTGGGTCCTTGAGCAAGACCCTTAACCCCCAGCTCCCTCAGTGCTCCAACAGGTGGCTGCCCTTTGTGGACATCTTACTCAACCAAGGGCAAGTTGAGGGAGGCATAAAGACAATTTCCCCATGGGGATCAATAAATTATCAACTATTATTTTGATATGCCATATCAGTTTACACTGAACTTGCAATTGACTTTTATTTTGATTAATAGTTTGACGTCTATGCTTTGTATTGTGTAATGGGGGACGTCCAATAGCACGTATATTCGATAGGTTAAAGTTTTCCTACGTCTTATACCTTTCTTACGTCTTCGAAAGCAATGGCTTAAATTTTCTACTTGTTTCATATTTTAGTTAATTTGTACATGTGACTCATTGCTATGCGTCATTTTTATTAGGTGACGGTGTTTCCCCTACGTTTACAGCTGGGGGTGGGCAGACGGACACCGACAAGATTCATGGTGTTCATGTGTTTCTTTTAATGTCAGCAGTGGCGATTCGACCCACAATACACTGCGGTTATAGCGAGTGTGATGTCAGCTGAAAAAGTTTGATTGCGGATGTTTGTCTTGACTTGCAAATACATTAACTGTTAGGCTTTAAAATTGATAGCTGATAGCTTAAAATAGTGATAGTTTAAAGCAGAAAATCCCATTGTGAAACGTATTTATTAGCCTGCTATTCATAATAATAATAATAATACATTTTATTTATACTGCACTTTACATTACCAAAAATCTCAGTCAAAGTGCTATTCATGTGGTTGACGTGACATATTTTCCGATGCGTGCTCTCTATCCGCTAGTGGGAGTGCGCTCACCTACAGTATGTGTGCACCTATGTCTCCGCCATGCGCGATACAGAGAGCAGATGAGAATTGTAAACCCGCGACCGTGTAGAGTAGGGGTGTCAAACTGCAGTCCTGGAGGCCGGAGCCCTGTGTAGCTTAGTTCTTTCCCTGTTCCACCACAAATGATTCAGCTCAACTGCTATGTGGTAATTAGCACAAGAAGTTGAATCAGGTGTGTTAAACGAGGGGAAACCCAAAAATGTGCAGGGCTCCGGGCCCCCAGTACTGGGGTGTAGAGACAGAAATGACAAGCTGTTGTGTAAATAACATAAATAACATAAGGCTATTTAGTTTCGTCAAAATATCCACCCCTTGCCTTTATCACAGCAGCACATATTAACATCCTTTCTTGCAATTTTTGGAAATAACTTGTGTCCAAACCCTCCCAGCACCTTTTCAAGCATGCAAACAGTTCTGTACTCATTTGCTAGATGCTCGTTTTAAACTTGCTGGTCCAGCTCGTCCCAAGGATGGACTTTCCTCTGCCCACAAGTCCTACTGCAAGTCCTGAATACTCCAGTGTTTGTGCCTATAATAGTACCTGTTTCTTGTTCACACCACAAAGTAAAGGTTTTCTGGCAGCAACTCCACCATCCAGTGCAGCTGCTCTCAGTCTTTGCTTGACTGTATTAAGAGATACCGGTTTCCCTTTGTTCACATTAATCGCAGCCCTCAGACCAATAGTCACCTTCCAATTTCTTTTGCACATCACAACTGAGTGTTGATCTTCAGCCTTTGATGCCACTTCCGTTGCCCCACATTGTTTCTGGTCACTGCTGCTTCCTGTCCACCTTCTTCTGTGTAAACTGTAGGTTATTCCATGCTTAGACACATTTTGCATTCTGGCTACTTGCCGATGAGAGAACCCTTCTTCACTCAAAATATCAATGTACTGTATCAGTTTTGATACAGTTTTGATACAGTACAACAGACGATTGAAACAAGGAGCAGACAGTGCATTAAACCCCTCGCAATCTGATCTGGGACAAGGCAGACAAGGGGCAATTATTTAGTTTATTAAGACACAATCAAGAGAGGCCAAGAGCAAATCAAGCTGTGACATTAGTTATAGAATTCCATCACAAAGTGAATGTTAATGTACTAAAAACAGTTCTGTCTTCAAAACCAATAGTTTCAGCCATTCCTAAATATCGCAAGGTGATTTTTCTAGTATCGTTCCTTCTGCCAGAGGTGTAAAAAGTACTCAAAAATGTTACTCAAGTGAAAGTACAAGTAATGAGTGAAAATTTTACTCAATTAAAAGTAAAAGTATTCAGCCAGAATCACACTTGAGTAAAAGTAAAAAAGTACCGCATTAAAATTGTACTTGAGTATTAAAAAAGTAAAAGTAAAAGCAAGAATGAAAATTAGAGATTCTTGTTTACGTTTTTAATCTCTAAAAACATGAAGTGAATGAACCACATACAAGGTTTTATCCTGCTTTAGAACTGTTTAGATTTAACCATTTAATTATACGACAAGGCACACCTAATGCAAATATGCAACATGCTACTCAAAGGATGCATTTCATCTTGTATGAATCCTTACTAATAACGCTAAAAGAAAAGAATTCGCTAAGGTACGGCCACGGGTGCTCTTGACCCTGTGGCTGATTTTGGACTGCGTTCGCTACTGAATCATGTTCTTCCTCCATTTTCTTCCACTGATTGAATGTTATAATTTATCTAATTTCCAAGTCAAGGTGCTGTGGTGATTGATGCGATATGACGTCACTTCCAAAGGACCAATGAACATGTCTGACTAATTTCA